ATAGATAGATAGATAGATAGATAGATAGATAGATAGATAGATAGATAAGGAATAGAGTCTAGCATATCTGAGACAGCCACAGTCATTGCTCTAACATTTTGAAATGATCCTTTCAGAATATTCTCATTGATGCCTGCGTCCTTGACTCGGATTCAGGGCTCCTCCAGCAGGTACGTTTACACGTGTGTGTGGCAGTGGCCAGGTGTTCAGACAGGAACAGTCTGTGTAGCAAGCACTTGTGGGGATGGTAATACCTTTGCCACTCATGGTGCCACATGCTGGTAGTCCCAGTAGTCAGGAAGCTGAGGCAGGAGGATCTTGAGACTTGAGGGCAGCCTGGGCTATGGAGTGAGACTCTGCAGAGACAGAGAGGTCATGAGATTATTTTGATTATACTGAGTTTAATGTGTGATTTAAATGAATTGAATGTGTTTCTGGCTGTTTGCTTTGAGACGGGGTCTCACTATGTAGCTGTAGCTGGACCTGCTTTTGCCCCACTAGTGTGGAGATTAAGAAGTGTGTGCCAGCATGCCTCCCCACCCTCCTTTTTAAATTCCACTTCTAGGAATATGTAAATTCTATACATTGTACCATATGTGTCTTGGGAAGCATTGTTAGGTGTTGCTTTTTTTGGAAGGTGGTAAGAGCTCACTCTAGCCCAGGCTGGTTTCAGATTCATCTCCTGCTTTAGATGTTGCTTTTTGAACAGAAGTTTGAAATTGAATGAAGACCAGGGTAGAGGGACCCACACCTGAAATAATCAACAAGCTGTGGGTGGCTACCGTCTGCTCACTAGAAATACTTCTGGGCCAGTGAGCTTGCTCAGTGCCTAAAGGTACCTGATGAGCTGAGCTCCTTTCCTGGGAGCCATGGGCTAGAAGAGAGCCAGTTCCCTCAAGCTCTCTCTAGTCTCTATGTGCTGTGGCATGCACGCACACACACACACACACACACACACACACACACACACACACACAAATGGTAAATACAAAGAATATTGTTAACATCCCTTCTCCATTCAGAATTTCCTTAAAAAATTATATCCTTGAAGATCAGTCAGTCAGCTAAAGGGTGTCGGGGGAGGGCCGGTGCCAGGCTTGTCTGTTGATTAGGCTCAACTTTACAGTAGGCATTGGATTTTTGTTTGTTTGTTTTTAATACATAATGTATTTTTAGAGAGACGTAAGAATTAAATATACTTTCATGTATTTAGAACCTACGATCTCACTCTGTGAGGATGAGACACAATGTAGGTTACTGCTGTCTGGTGTGACAATCTGTAGCTGCCCCCATTTCAGCTCTCAGAGATGGCAACTCTGACTGAAAGCTAGATCTGCTACTTTGTCCAGTGCAGTGTCTCCTGAGGTCTAGGCAGCCATAATCTGCAGTGCGCATGCCATCTCCTCTTGGACATCTCAAGTCGCTGTGTTCAGAAAAGAGCTTTTTTTTGACAGTGGCTTCTCCCAAACTCTGGGTTCCCTCTCTGCACACAGCATGGTTTGCTGGGTAGGTCAACCTGGATTTTCCCTCTTTCTCTTCCTCTTCTTCCAAATTGTTAGGATCTGATTGAATCTGTCTTCAGCACAGATCCTGAATCCTACCTCCTGTCTTTTTCCTTAGATTCTCCATCTGTGGGGCCCACAACCATCTGATAACTAGTTTGAGCACACTTACCTCCACCAGCCAGGCCTGTCATCTTGGGAGTCAGAAAGCTCATAGCATAAGCAAGGCCATGTTGCTCCCTTCCTTAACTGCCCCACCCAACCCTACCCCTAATGTCTTGGCACACTTTGGCTGATACCCAAGTCCTTGCTCGGGCCTGCTGTTCACCTGTGTCTTCTGTTTTCTTTCTGGCCCCATCTTGACTCCTTGGTGCTTCCTGAAATCGCAGTTAACCTGGGCTGCTGCGGACAAATGCTTTGGCACTTGCTATCCCCTCTCTGCTGAGGCTCAGCTCTGGCCTTCTCACATGTCTCTGCTTCTCCTCCCCCATCACCCCTTGATTGTCATGGGAGTTATAAACTAACATCAGCTTTGCACCCTGAAGCCTGATGTGCTCTTTTCCCCCTTTTAGAACTAGCAGGGAAACTTTATTTAAAGCAGGACTTTGGGAAGCTCAGGGTACGCTGCATGGCACAGCAGGCAGGGAGGGAAGCTGCCGGGGCTGTGCTGTCTGTTGGCAGCTCTAGGAGCCCACTTCGTGAGGATGAGACACGATTTGTCTCGTGGCCTGGGAATCTGTAGCATGGACAGTGATGAGTACACGAACCTCACACACTGACCTTATAGACCTGTGGAGTTCCCCCATGAGCCTCATTCCTCCGGGAACGCCAAGGTCCTGCTCTGGCAGTGACTCCTCTGTCTTGCAGGCTTGTGACATCACAGGGGGACTGTACCTGAAGGTGCCTCAGATGCCTTCTCTCCTGCAGTACTTACTGGTGAGTTAGCACAGCAGCACCCCACCACATCTAGCGCCCCAGGGAAGGAATTGCTGGGAGAGTAAATAGTGGCTTCAGAGTGTCCAGGCTGAGAAGGAAGACTTTCAGATCTTTGAATTCTGAAAGTTGTTTGCCGATGTTATATGACTCTATAGCACTGTGCTTAATAAATGTGGAGTGGAGCCAACAGCATGGCTCAGTGAGTCAGGGTGCTTGCTGCCAAGCCTGATGACCTGAGTTCAGTCCCCAGGACCCACATGGTGGAAAGAGAAAACCATCTTCTGACTACCACATGTGCTGTGCCGTGTTTGTGTGCACACACATACATGTACACAAAATAAATGAAAAATCTCAGTTCTCTCCTTTTATCATGTGGGTCCCAGGAATGGAACTCAGGTCATTTATCAGGCTTGGTGGCAAGTCCCTTTCCCTACTGAGCTATCTCACTGGCTCGGAAGGAAAGTCTGATTTCGTATTCTCCTCAGTGCTGACTGGCTAAGACTGCTAGCTGTGTCCTGACTGTTGCTTGGTTTTCCTCCCATGATGTAATTAAAGATCTCTTGCCTATCCTTTCTTTCTTTCTTTTTTTTTTTTTTTTTTTGTTTGTTTGTTTTTTAAACAGTGGGTTTTTCTTCCGGATCAAGATCAGCGATCTCAGCTAATCCTCCCGCCCCCGATCCATGTGGACTACAGGGCTGCCTGCTTCTGTCACCGAAGTCTCATTGAGATTGGCTATGTCTGCTCAGTGTGTCTGTCCAGTAAGCTCATGTGTGCTTTGTCTTACTGTCTGTCTTGGGGAGTGGGGTGGGGTGGAGTATTCTGTGGTTTTTAAGTCTTCTTACTTCCTTGTCCTTTGACTTTTTAACAGTTTTCTGCAATTTCAGCCCTATCTGCACCACATGCGAGTAAGTATCTTGGCAGTTGCTGGGTGGGAATAGGATCCTGAGAGCTTCGGAGCCTGAAGTGTTTCTTCTCTATCATTCCAGGACAGCCTTTAAGATCTCCCTCCCGCCTGTCCTGAAGGCGAAGAAGAAGAAACAGAAGGTGTCCCTGTGATGGGCAACACAAGCTTCCTCATCTCCCACCACATGTGGACTCTCGTGGGGAACATGGAGGAATTGCTTAAAACATGGTTTTTGTCCTGTGCTTCTCATGCAGGGAGCTGAAGTGTCCGCCAAACCTCTGGTTTTATCTGGAAAGGGGGACAAACGCAAGTCAGGACATTTTTGTTTGTAGTTTTAGCAGTTGCTTGGCAGAAGCCAGCTGCTGCTGTTTTGTGTGTTGTCACTTGGCTTTGAACCGCAGCCCTGCACATGCCAGGCCAGCACCCCACCACTGAGCTGCAGTCAGCCCCTTGGGATTTTGTTTTCAGATGATCCCCTGTCAAAGCTTATTGGGGTAGATTCTGGGTCTTTTGCACTTGAAGTTGGGCAGTGTGTGAAGTTGGAATGCAGCTCAGGAAGATGACCAGCATTGGGTCATTGTATCAGTCCTGACAGAGCATCTTAGCTGGACAGGTAGTACACGCCTGGAATCTTGAATTCGGGAGGCTGAGACAGGAAGGTTTGGCGTTCAGATCTTGCTTCAGATATGTATAAGATCCTGTCTTTTAAAAAAAGAACATTTTACTTCAAATAAAGTGTTTCCTTTAACTATTTTCAAAAGTAACCTGGCCTAAAGGCACACACCTTCAATCCTAGCACTCAGGGAGCAGAGACAGGTGCATCTCTGAACTTGAGGCCAGCCTGGTCTACAGAGTGCGTTCACACCAACCAAGGTTTTATTTTGCTACCTTATTTACAAAAAACCAATAACATCAATATTGGAGAACTGAATGCTAAAAATGTAAATGAGTTCAGTAATAAAAATCCTATTTTTATATTTACTAATTTTCCTTAAAGTATTTTTCTAAGTATTTGCATTGAGTATTTTTTTTATTACCTTTAATCTCAGCAGAGTCAGGTTGATCTCTGAGTTGGAAGCCAGCCTGGTCTACAGCACTAGTTCTAGGACAGCCTGGGCTAAACAGAAAAACCCTGTTAAGAAAAAACAAATTACTCAAAGATTTTTTTATTTTTAAAGATAGTGTTTCTCTGTGTATCCTTGGCTGTCCCAGCTCTTCCTCTGTAGACCAGGCTGGCCTCAATCTCAGAGGTCCACCTGCCTCTATCTCCTGACTGCTAGAATGGACCACCACCACCCAGCTATTAAGATCTTTCTTCTCCTTCTTTTCTTATTCTTACTCTTTTTCTTCTTCTTTTCTTATTTTTTAAAGATAGGGTTTCTCTGTGTAGCCTTGTCTGTCTTGTCTGTCCTGGACTCACTTTGTAGACCATGCTGGCCTTGAACTCAAAGAGATCCGCCTGCCTCTGTCTCTCTTAAGTGCTGAGATTACTGGCGTGCCTAATACCCAGCCTCTAAAATCTTTAAGGGCCTGAAGAGATGGCTCAGGGCTTCAGAGTACTGTTTGCTTTTCCAGAGGACCCAGATTCAATTCTAAGGACCCACATAGCAGCTCACAACTGTCTGTAACTCTAGTTCTAGGGGACCGGATGCCCTCTTGTCGCCTCCACAGGCACCAGGCACAAATGGTATAGACATGCTTGCATGCATGTGCAAACAGCCATACATATGGACTAAAAATAACTCTTAAAAACAACAAAAAGAAAGCCTGGTATGATGTGTCAATGGGTATTAGGACCTTCAATCCTCAGACCACATGGTAGAAGGATAGAACTGACTCCTGCAAGTTGTCCTCATTTGGTTCCATGTGGGATTGTTGTTGTTTTTCTGTATACCGCATGGACTTGCCCAGACCTACTGCCTGGAGGATCAGCCTGTGAGGGTGGCCGTGGCAATGCAGGTCTTCCAGCTGTTGCTTGGGGTGGGGTGTAGGGGCACTGCTGATCACATGACCTTGGCCTGAGGCGGAAGCCCAAGCCAGTTTGCTCTGACTAAAGAAGGGTAGAAGTGGAAACAGATCCACAGTGCTTAACTGGCCTCTTGGGAATGGGGAGGATCAGGTCACTGGAAGCTGATTTGGCTTGCATTCCTCTGACTGGTATGAACACCCACCTCACCCCATCTCCTTAGCTAAGTGTGGATCCACACTATCCTCTTCAGGATACTATTGGGTGTATTTTGCCAGCTGGAACTAATACAACCCAAGGCAGATATGAACTAGCCCCTTCCCCCCAGCCATTGGAGAATGTTGCATGACAGGCTGTAATTGGAGCAACTACGTCTTTGGCTGTGACTGAAGGAAACCCAGAACGTGTCATGGTCCAAATCAAGTAAACATTTTGAATACGGTGACTAGGCAAGGGTGCTTGGGCTAACAGGACTTCAGATCCTCTGGAGCCGTAGTTACAGGAATTTGTGGGCTACCACATGGGTGCTGGGAACCGAACCCACACATGCTCTTCTGCGTGAGTGCTCTGAAGCACTTAGCCATCTCTTCAACCCTGCAGTGTGGTTTCTTGACATCTGGGATGGAAAGAACCCACGATGTACTATGGGAGTAGGGAGCAGCAAAACAGTAAGCTGGGCGGGGATCAGAGAATGGACGTTCTTCTGGACCAATCATGAAGAGGAGCGCCGCTTTCCGGCTGATGGTTGCCGTGGCCACCGGTACTCTCGGGAGACTTGTAGAAGCTGGCTCTCTTGACCTGGACCAATCACGACTTGTCTATCACCGATTGGTGGTTGCCATGGCGGCGGGCTTTCAGCTTGGCAATATGGCGTCGGCTGGGCAGCGAAGGCCGCGGAGTTTTCTCCCGCGCGCTATTCTGGGCTTGTGAGGCAGGCGCGGCCCCTGGTATGGGCTCTCTGTTGCCACTTGGCCTCCTGTGGGGACTCCTCCTGCTGCAGGGCGTCCTGAGGCCGCTGCATGGGAACCCGGGTTTGTATGGCAGGGGTATGGCATGCATGGCTCAGGCTGAGGGGATCTGGCTTTTAAAGGGCCAGACCTGGGGCTCCTAGGATCTCGGAAGCCAGGGCCACATATAAAGCCAGCACACGCACCCCAGGCACAGTTCTGCACAGGTTAACTCCTTCACTCTTCCTTTTTTCCTAGTTTTCATCCCACCTTTCATCCGAATGTCCAGTCCTGAGGTCAGCGTGTCCCTGGTCGGAGGCAGCGAGGATGTGACTGTGTCTCTGACTCCGCTGCAGCCCGAGGACGGTAGGAGCCTGTCTTTTCTTGGGAGGGTGGGTGCTGCCCGTGGAGTTGCTGTCAGCAGAGTAGGAGCGGGAAGAAAGGCAGCCTAAGCGTGTGGTAGGACAAAGAGGCCCCGTGGAGAGGTTCTGGAAAAAGGGGAGCCTGAAATAAAGGAGCCAACAAGCCAGGCGTGCTGGCACACGCCTTTAATCCCAGCATGAGAAGGCAGAGGCAGGTGGACATCTGCGTTCCAGGCCAGCATTCATTAGCTAGCGCCCCAGAGATTTCTACACAGCACCTCAGGGTTCTCACAAGAACAGTAGTTTTTATTTTGTTTTGTTTATCCCATTTGACAAATGAGGAGACACACTGCCTGACCAGTCTCATGCAGCTCGTCCTGTGCCCGGACTCCCGACTCTCCTTAGCTGCAGGACCCTGATGCTTTGCATTCTGATTTCTCCCTCAGGAGTGTTGCCAGTTCCTACTTGTGTTCTCAGCAACGAAACAGGAGACTGGAATGTGACTGTGAGCCCCGGAGTGGTAAGACCAGAGGCAAAAGCTCTGTTGCACCTGTGGAGGCCTCCTGTTCAGGCTGTGTGGACGGCAGTGCATGTGTGAGTGTGTGTATCTTAGGGAGGATTTCTATTGCTGCGATGAAACACCATGGCCAGAAGTCAGGTTGGGAAGGAAGGGGTTTATTTGGCTCACACTTCCACATTGCTGTTCATCGTTAAAGGAAGTCAGGGCAGGAGCCTGGCAGCAGGAGCTGATGCAGAGGCCATGGAGCGGTGCTGCTTACTGGCTTGTTTCCAATGGCTTGCTCAGTTTGCTTTCTTATCTAACCTAAGACCAGAAGCCCCGGGATGGCCCCACCCATAATGGGCTGGGGCCTCCCCCACCAATCACTAATTAAGAAAATGCCCTACAGCTGGATCTTATGGAGGCCTTTTCTCAATTGAGGTTCCCTTCTTTACTTGACAAACTCTAGCTTGTGTCAAGTTGGCATAAGACGAGCCAGCAGTGTGTGTGTGTGTGTGTGTGTGTGTGGTGGTGGTGGTGATGGTGATAGGGATCTTCTATCCTGTGTGTTTATCACACTGTCAGCTCCCCAATGTTCTTGTGATTTGACACTCCATGTTCCACATTCAGTATGTTCATGGAATTGGGGGCTACCAATGTAGATTCATTCAGCCAGCATGGGGTTCTTACCCTAGGATTCATGGTGTGTCAGGATGTGTTACAGGTGAAGCTTGTGAATTTATGTGAGTGTCAGTGCAGTCCTAGAATTGGGACAGCTGAGGCAGGAGGAGCACGAGATCAAGGTCAGTCTGCTTAGTGACACTGTTCCAGAAATAAACCAATAAGGGGCTGGAGAGGTGGCTCAGTGTTTAAGAGGAAGGTCTGCTTTTTTTAAAGATTTATTTATTTATTATGTATACAATGTTCTGGCTGCACGCCAGAAGAGGGCACTAGATCTCATTATAGATGGCTGGGAGCCACCATGTGGTTGCTGGGAATTGAACTCAGGACCTCTGGAAGAACAGCCAGCGCTCTTAACCACTGAGCCATCTCTCCAGCCCCAAGCAAGGTCTGCTTTTAGAGAGGACCTTTGTTAAATTCCCAGCAACCACACGGTAACTCCCAACTACCTCTAACTCAAGTGCCAGGACACCTGACTTTCTCATCTGGCCTCCATTGGTACTTCAGGCACAGGACACAGAGAAATAGATGCAGGTAAAGCACCCATACACATAAAATAGAAGGACAGAAAAATCTAAAAAAATTTAAACACTCACACAGAGGCTAATGCTACCCTGTTGGCTCGTGCTTATAATCTCAGTACTTAAGAGGTTGGGCCAGAAGACTTTCACAAAGTCAAGGTCACCCTGGGTGTCCTAGTTACTTTTCTATTGCCATGATAAAACACCATGACCAAGGCAACTTATAAAGGAAAGAATTTAATTGTGTTCTTGCTAACAGTTCAGAGCATGAATCTATGACCATTGTGGTGGGGCCCATGGCAGCAGGCAGGCCTGGAGCAGTAGTGGAGAGCTCATATCTAAGCCACAAGCGGGAGGCAGAGAGAGAAAGCTAACTCAGAATGGCATGGGGTTTTGAAACCTCGAAGCCCACCCCAAGTGATACACCTTCTCCAAGGCCACACTTCTTAATCCTTCCCAAACAGTTCCACCAGCTAGGGACCAAGCATTCAAATGTATGAGGCTGTGGAGGCCTTTCTCGTTCAAATCACCACACCAGGCTACAATAATAAGCCAAATCCAGGCCTGTGTGCTTTGCAAAATGAGACCTTATCTCAAACAAACAAATTAACAACAACAACAACAACAACAAAAAGCAGATCAAAACAAAGATAAAAAACATGAAACTTTTTATAGGCACTGATTTTTGTAGACTTATATATTTCATTTTATGTGTATGAGCATTTTTTTTTCTTTTTTCTGCAGCTATGTAGACCTTGTGCTGGAGATGGTTAGTTGAGGGGATGGGGTTCCTTGGAACTGGAGGTATAGGTGGCTGTGAAGGCACCACGTGAGTGCTGGGAACTGATCCTGGGTCCTCCGTTAACCACTGAGCTATCTCTCTAACCCTGTAAACCCTGATCTTGCCCATCTCTGGCTTCTGTGTAGGGGCCATCCGCATCTCAGGAGATGAAGTGTTCACTGAGTGCCTAGTGTGGATTTGAGAGATAAGCAAATGAGAAAGAC